CAAAGAGTTATGCATTGACATAAACATATAGATTTACATATCATATATTACAAACGAAATATTAAAGTTACTAAAAATCACAATATTTTTCGTAGTTTACTTTGATAGTTGTGAAATTATTATATCAAAATCTATTTCCTTATACACATTTCATTTTTAATTGAAAGAATTCTTATATTTGATAATTTTTCTTGATTTAGTGATGATTTAATAAATATGATCTTAAATAATTTTTTTAACTTCAATTTATTAAAACTTTTTTCATATAAAGCTACTTTAGTGAAATAGTTAAAAATATTCTTTCTGCTATACGAGTATCTCTAAATTTGAATATGATTTAGTTAAATCATGAATTAGTTTTTAAAACATCTAAAATAGAAACTATATCTACTTCTTTATCTGTATCAAGTAAAGAGAGAAAAAAAGAAGATCGTAAACTAAAATCACTATTAATAAATGAATTAAAATATGTAGGAAATTATATTGCTATTTTTGCACTTCTTTTTTAGTAGAATTTCTCTGTAAAAACCGTCGATGTAAACTTAAGAACATTTTGAGTAGCATGCGTTAGTCATCATTGTATAACACTTGTTATTGGATTATTTTGTTGTAAATCATGTTAGAATTTATTTTTTTGTATTTCTGATTATTACACGTTCTCTAATGGATTCCCCTGTTTTGTATATCACTAACGGGCGGCTGCTATATGTGTGTGACCATCATGTGATTTATGATATATATTAAAGAAATACAGTCAAGCCGCAATCGAGATTCCCGGCACCGCAAACGCAGGCGGAAAGGCGCTCGCTTTAACTTGTGCTCTAGCATCCTCTATTTTTAGTACGTAACGGTACTGAAAGAGTTACATATACACACACACACACACACACACACACACACACACAAATGTGATAATGAGAAATTTTAAAGCTTATCCCTATATGCAAACGAATCATAAATAATTAATATTATATAAAAATGAACGTGTAAACAAATTTGATGAAAACACAAAGCTAGGAACAATCATGCATCATAAAATATCAAAGATACAATGTTTTCATTATATTTTTATGATATTTTAATACAATTTAATCTAAAGTAATAAACATTAATATTAATCAAATTTTAATAATATAAATAATTAAATTTTTATTATAATATTAAAATTTAATTGCGAATATTGCAATTTGAAAGAAATTAAAAACTAGGCCTCTTTTTTTTTAAACAGTTTTTTTTAAACAGTTCATTTTTCTTCCTCTTTTTTTCTCCTGGAGAGAAAAGGAAGAAAGATGAACTGGTGCAAGTTTAGTTAAAAAGAACAGGTCTACTACTATGATATAAAATTTATTAACATTTTTAAACATTCAATGGAATACTGATGATCGGTATATAATGTCACAAATTTGTGCTTAACTGATGATCTATAATGTCGCAATTTTTGCTTGATTTATTAAAAAATCAGCATCGAATTAATTAGCCTTTTCACATTATCGATAAAATCGTTGTCTCGTATCCTCTATTAAATTGATCTCAGAGACAAGTGTAATAATTAAATAAGAAGAAAAATCGATAAGATCCCGATGAAATGCTAATTGTATAATATTCATACATATCTATTCAACACTAAATAATCATTAATCAGATCAAATATTTCATACATTACGATTATATCGTAATGTATACGATGAATTGATAGGAATTTTGCAGTAGCCATAAGAGTAATAAAAAGCAACTGATAATGAATAGTACTCTCTTTACATACAAGATATTTTATATTTTATATTAAAATGTATCATGACAAATTTTATATCTCAAAAAATTAATCAAAAGCTTTTTTATTATAAAAACATCTCAACAAAGACTATCAAAATATCCATAATAACAATGAAAAGCTTATCGATAAGCGTAAACGATAAGTTTCAACGTTTCTTAAATATTTCATTAACTCCTTGTAGTTTTAAATATATATCCATAATATACACTTCCGGTCGAACGCTTTGAAAGCGTGCATCTGTTACATTTCCCACATGTTTTAAATATTTTTTTTTCATTAATATTTATTTCCAAACGCTTCACAAAACATATACAAAGCACTTCGATCCACTTCAATCATTTTTATCTAAAAAGTCTTTATCAATGTTTTCAACACTTTCCACAATATTCTGCAAAGAATGATCTGTCATTTTCATTTAAATCGATCTATAATTTCTAGTAAGAAATTTTTCAATAGTCATATAGCTAATATGTCAATTAGAGAAGACCTTTTTAATGACCTTGACATGTATCATTAAGATCACAACCTGAGTAACCTTCAAGAGATTTTAGCTGTTGTTTATCATTCGTTAAAAAGTTATTAACAAAAAGTTTAAGAAATAGGGCAAGTTTTTTTAATTCATCAATTGATCGCAATTGTGTACAATTTTGTTCTGTAAAAGTTGCATTTGCGCATAATTTTGCGATTGATCAATCAATAAATTTAAAAAACTCGTCCATAATGTATATTATTATATGTTATTTCTACTATATACAGTGAGTGCATTCAAAATGATCGTTCATTAAAGTCTTTCATTTAATTGGCATATTCCATTAAAAAATATAAACCAATCAGATGAAAGAAGTCACTGAATGATTGTCACTCTGAATGCACCGATTATTAGCCCGGATCTACAATAGGTATTATATATAGAATTAACTTAAGTTAAAAAAAGTTTGAAAAAAATTTTTTAGATTATAATATCCTAATTTTTTTTAATGAGATTAAATAACTACAATATAGATTATTAAGTAAATTTAATTTTTAATTTTTTTATTCCTTTCTATATGTGATATAAATATATAACACATAACGATATAACTATATAAATTATATAACTTTAAAAAAACAGCCAGCACATAGAGAAAATACAAGATTAGTGATTACTTTTTAATAAGTCTTAAGCCATAAAAAATTGACCAATTACAATCGAATGCGAGAAGAATATTTGACTTTAATTGATCAATTTCTTGACTTAAGGCTTAAAATATCTATTGTAGATCCGGACTAAGGCTTATGGCATAAGGCATAACCGCATAAATCAGAGAGCTGTATTAGCATCTTAAGAAATTACTTAAGATAATCTTAAAATATGAACGAATATAATACGCTAATACTTAGTCTTATTATATCTTATTTTTCTAAGATATTTAAAAGAGATAAAAAAATTTTTTAATTTAAAAAAAAGTTAAAAAGTTAAAGTTTAAAAGTAACTTGGTTAAGTTAAAATTTAATGCATTTAAAATTAACTAAGTTAAAAGTTATTAACTTTTTAACTTTTTTTTTAACTTTTAACGTTTTAACTAGTTAGTTTTAATTACCCAACTCTGGAAATTGACCAATTACAGTCGAATACGAGGAGAATAATTGATTGCAATTCGTCCATTCCTTAAGGCTTAAACTTAAGGCTTAAAAATCTATTGTAGATCCGGGCTTAAGAATCGACATTAGTGACAAGTCTCATTTGTAGTGCAACTACATATACATATATTTGCACTCTATCAAGACTACCATGTATATTATCTTAGAAAAAATATTTTGCAATGAAACTCGTTTTGATTATATTTTACAAAGCTACGAAGTCTATTAAAAAACCAAATTTTGCAATTCCATTCTTAAAAATATAATAAATAAAATGATATGGTTCTTATTTACGGTGGATATATATTTTTATGCTAATATTATTAGGTGTACAACTTTGCTTCCGCCGTTTTCCTATAGATGGCTTTAGCGGTAAGTGGTGGTCGAAATAAATAGATCATAGACGTCATACAATAAACTTGGGCATCTGTCAACATAACCCCATAGAAACATTAGTCGATTTATGTCTGCATCATAAAATTATTCTCTTATCTAATCTATAGATTGAAAATGTCAGTTTACGAGCCAAATTCTCGTCATTTGCGGGAGGTTTTAATTTTTTGCTTCAATATGAAGAAATCTGCGGCTGAGGCTCATCGGATGCTCTCAAATACTTATAGTGAGGCCGTTAGTGAAAGAACGTGTCGTGAGTGGTTTCAACGCTTCAAGAACGGTGATTTTGACGTCGAAGACCGGCAAAGCGGTGGAAGAGAGAAGGTTTTCGGAGATGCAGAATTGGAGGCATTACTTGAGCAAGACTCGTGTCAAAATCAAGAATAATTGGCACGATCATTGGGAGTGACTCAACAAGCCATTTCAAAACGCTATGGGAATGATTCAGAAGCAAGAAAATTGGATACCGTACGAATTGAAGCCGAGAGATGTTGAATGGCGTTTGTTTGCTTATGAACAGTTGAAAGGCAAAAACGGAAGGGATTTCTGAATCGCATTGTGACTGGGGACGAAAAATGGGTTCATTACGATAATCCCAAGCACAGAAAATCATGGGGAGTTCCCGGCCATGCTTCCATGTCGACGGCCAAATCGAATATTCACGGCTCCAAGGTCATGTTCTGTATTTGGTGGGACCAACTCGACGTAGTGTATTATGAACTGTTGAAACCGACTGAAACAATCACAGGCGATCGGTATCGAACGCAATTGATGCGTTTGAGCCGAGCATTGAAAGACAAACGGCCGCAATACAACGAGAGACACGATAAAGTGATTTTGCAGCATGACAATGCTCGACCTCATGTTGCGAAAGTGGTCAAGACATACTTGGAAACGTTGAAATGGGAAGTCCTACCCCACCCGCCGTATTCTCCAGACGTTGCTCCCTCTGACTATCACTTGTTTCGATCAATGGCACACGGCCTGGCTGACCAGCACTTCCGGTCTTATGAAGAAGTAAAAAATTGGATCGATTCGTGGATAGCCTCAAAAGATGACCAGTTTTTTCGACGCGGGATTCGTGCGCTACCCGAAAGATGGGAGAAAGCAGTGGCCAGCGATGGACAATACTTTGAATCATAAATGTATAACCAGTTTTTTACAATAAAGCCTCAAATTTCGGAAAAAAACGGAAGCAAAATTGTACACCTAATATACTAATATCTTTTATTTATTTTTTAATATTTATCTCCTAAAAGTTACATTACAAATTTGTTGTTTCTTTTTTTATGAAGCTGCGAAGATGCGTACAGAGCCAGATTTTACAAATTGGTTTTTTGGAAAAATTATAATAAATAAAATTATGTGCACTACAATTGCACTTTACTTATTTTTGTTTTTAATTACATACAATATTAATTTTGCTTACAATAATATAATAAATTTAAATTGTGTGTGTGATTTATGATACGTATTTATTCTTTAATATTATTAAAAAATAAGATTATTTAGATTATTATTTGTTTGAAATATACAATGCTCTGTTAAAGATTTTTTATCTTACCGCAATGTTCCGTTTAGTGTTTTACGTTGAATTGCGCATCTGGATTTTCAAAATGATAAAATTGTGTTAATATGATTGTATTATATTATATAGTGATAAGTTTGTTAAACACTAAACGGAACATTATTGCGAGAAATTAAGATAAAATATTATATATTAAGATAAAAAGTAAATCTTTTATTAACATAATTCCTAACATGTTAAAAAATAAAAACTTATTTTTATAAAAAGTAAACTCAAATAAATATGCTAAATTTATTAACAATAAAGTATTATTGAATGAAATAAAATTAAATGATACAAAATTTAATATAGTTGTAATAAAAGAAAAACAAGAATTCGCCAGGAGTTCATTTAATGACTTTCTCGTTAGTTAGTCCAGTGCCACTAGGATTGGATTCTGCTCCACCAATATCAAGGAAATCACTAGGCGCTTCACCACTTTGATATAGTTTCGAGACGATGGGATTACATATGGCTTCCAATTCCTTCTGCTTATCAACGAATTTTTTCTTCTCTGCCAATTGATTGGTGTCTAACCAAGAGATGACTTCATTGCACTTAAAAAGGACTTTCTCCTTATCGGACGCATTGATCTTATTTTTAATTGTGTCCATTGTATTCTTCATGTTGGAGCAATATAGCTCGAGAGCATTTTTGGCGGAAATCTTTTCCCGCTGTTGCTTGTCCTCTGATCGGTCCTTTTCGGTTTCGTTTATCGTCTTCTCTTTCTTCGACAAGCGACTCTTGTTTTTCGTAATCTTGATGTTATTTTCCTTGTCCGTAGATTTCTCGATTGCAGAGACATTCGATACGTCTGCAAAATACAAAAATTTGAAATATATAGAACACGTTATTTAAATTATATATAAATTATATATAATTATAAATATATTATAACGATTAATTGAACAATGAGTACAAGTAGCTGTAAAATAGCTTCTGAATTTTTGGAATCCTGACGGAGTCACTGACTAGAGAACGATGCTGTAAACTTGAATCTTGTCTACCTTCGCATCTAAGTGTCTTTCTCCATAAATTCGAAAGTATTCCTAAACAGATCGGCATAAAGCTCCTCGTATCTAGGTCTGATGTATAGAAATCGATATTTTCATACAACGATTAATCTCGATGTTCGCCTGCATCAACGAACTCAATATTCTCCTCGCTTTCTCACATTGTGCGAACAATCCTATGTACATTTCTGACGTATCTCACGCACACATATACATAATTTTTTATAAAACAATAGCAATTGTAATTAGACGTCAAAGTCTAATTTTAAAAACTCCATGTTAACTGTCCGTGTTGTGTAAACTACTGTGGACCACAATTTTATAAGTATAGATTACAAACTTTTATATCAAACAAATATTATGATATTTTGACAGCTCTGATGTTATATTGGGTTAAAATTGATAAAGAAGATTTAGAATCTCTCTTTTAGGAGACCAGCTCGTTTTTGTTTGGAGTCAAAAAAATAATTATCATAAATTTAAAAAAAAAACAACGATTATAGCTATCAATTTGAAGCTCGAACACACACTTTATTTATATTTGAAGAAATGAATTTTTACAAGCAAAAATAATAAAAAATGAATGAGATCAACAAGATGAATACTTCAAAATCCAATTTTCACCAAATTGCTATCACTGTAGGAAGAGTCCTGTTAGCATATCCAAATAGTACATTCACTTACATTATTAGGCTAGTGCCTAATAATTTTTTACTATTTTGCCGACAGAAATACTTTATTTTAAATTGGCCAATCAGTGATGTGCTATCAGAACCCTCTTTCACTGTACAAAATGAATTGTCTAAAACAAAAAAAAACAAATTAATTGGTAATGTTAATTAATTACATTAAATCTAATGAAATTTTAAAAAAATTAAAATTGTTTTAAAAAAAAGATTCTTTTTTTTCAATTAAATATGTAAAAAATATTATTCTTTAAAAATTTATTTTTTTTTTAGATTTAACGAATGCAGAAAATGGTTATAATTTATGTGCTAAAAGTTTAAGTCAATACATTGAACCATTTTCTTTCTACAGTGACAACAAAATTGAAAAATGATTTTTCAAGAAAAACGCATTTAAAATTTTCATTACAGAATATTTATTTTATACTTACAATAGATTTTCTGTAATCAATAATTCCTGGGTCATAAAAGGACTTTTCATCTTTAAATAATATTATTGGATTGGATAATGTCCATTGCATCGGTACTTTTAGGTCGTTCTTTTGATATGTGGCACATTGTTCGCTATCTACTATGTCAGTGCTTCACATTTGGGATCTATTCAAATTCCCACTTTACAAAAAATCGAATAACTTTCGTATATCAGACGCCAGCAATATTTCGATTATTTATTTTAAATCACAATGAAGTTATTTTGGCGCTAAGTGTCACATGACTTTCACATGCATTCATTCATGTATATATATGTATAAAGATTAGGAGAAACATCTCTGCTAATCTAAATCTGTATATTTTAGAATAACAAAAGCCAGGTATATTATAATACAATATACACCAGCCAGGTTCAAACAGTCAAAATCTTACCTTTTATCTCTTGAAATCGAATCGTTCAAACTGCTACAACAATCAAGATATTTTCTGGGAAATATTCTTTAATAGTTGTTATTTGAAAAAAATGTAATAAAAGTCATTTTTTTATTCTAGAAACGAGCTAGTCTCCTTAAAAACAAACATTATTATAAAAATAATAAAAATACCTTCGCAAGTATCGCGCTGGTTTTCATCTTGCTCAAGTTGCTGAAGACCAGACGAACGCACTTCGTACCGGTCGAGTATACTATATATATTGCTTCGAGACACACCGAATGAACGAGCTATTTGGCACACATTCTTTCCATTTTCATACGCTCGCAGAATTTTTTCCTCAATGCAAACACGTCTTCTTACACCACATTGTTGTCTAAATAATGGAGTTACGAACACTGATCCTGTTTCACGTAAACGATGGATACATCTTAGAATAGCGCTGGAATCAGGTTGTTTGCGTTCAGGAAATCGTTCCGCATAGAGACGGCGAGTTGCACAACCATTTCCGCCGCATGCACCATATGTGATAACCATGTCAATGTATTCATGAGCACTATATGCCATGTTCTCGCAATAAATACAATCCTGGAGTACACGCACCTCAAAAACACTAAACGAACTGGGTTTGGGCTTACCACAAACTTCTATATATTAACACTTGACTGTCATGTAATCGCGACCATATTGGAATTGTGATGATATAAGTGAAATGACGACTTTTCTTGTATGCCATTTGTCAAATAAAGAAAGTTGAATAAAACGAAATAAGATCGCTTTAAAAAGATAAAATTGAACCGAATCTCTCCTTATCTGCCCTCACTAATCCCCCACAATCAATAAATAATCATAAAAGGCATGTAAAGTGAAGACTTCAGAAACGGACTATTTGACAACTATTAAAAATAGTGAAAAATAGTGAAAAATAGTGAAAAATATGTTTTTTACGTATGAAATTTCAAGACAACTTGAGTCTGTCTATTTTTATGACTTTGATAAGTATGAGATAAATTACGATTTCACAATTAAGCACATAATAAAGGAACGGCATGCAAAAAAAGTTTTGTGCTGACTAATTCAACTATCAATCCAGCAGGAAAGTAAGCATCGTATATCGCTGACTTTATTCTCCTCATGCTGTCTGCCGGAAACACAATTTATACAGTCACAGTATATATAGTATTATATACAGTCACAGTATATATAGTATATACATATAGTTAATACAGTAGTGCAATGTCTGATTTTGTTTCCCAAAATGGAATACGCATGCGTGAAATAAGAAAGTTGCCTCGTTTCATTTCCTCTTTTTTTATTGCTCTTTTTCTCTTTCTATTTAAATGGGCACGTTTTAATGGGCACATTCAAATTGACAACTAGTCTACTCGTCAAACAAATAAATATAATTGATTTCTTATAGATCCAACCAATCACATTCAATCGCTCGGCAAGCAGTTTAACTGCTATATCCGGCTTGAATGCGCTTAATATTCTACTTAGGGCCGATAGTTCCATCTTTTGGCAAATTTTATGCATCTGTTGGAGTAAGTAGCAAAGTTATCCAATCACATGCATGGCTTACCAGATTTACTTCACAGTAAAATTTACCAAAAGATGGAACAATCGGTTCTTAAACATTTGTCTTTCAAGCATATATGATTCAGAATAGAAATTTAGAGGGAAGTATTATGTGTATTATCCATTTGGTGAAATGTTGTGTGAGAAACTTCGAGAAATTGATCTTTTGTGAAAAAGTGATAAAGTGAAAAAGTGAACAAAAATAAGATAGAAAACCAAGCAAGAAAAATTTCTTTTTATTTATTGTATTTTAAACTTATTTTTTGGACTTATATGTATATAAATTTCTTTTATATCAACTTTCTTTCTCATAATATTTTCACATATAATTACACAATATTTCTTTATACAAATATACATTTTTAAGTTAATTTAACATTTTTCCTAATTTTCTATATTTTTTCTATTTTTTTTATTTTTTAATATATTTACAATTTATTTTTATTAATTTTTATAAAGTTTAAATTATTTTATTGCAATATTAGATTCATTCGCGTCGCATGCTCTAATATGCTCCAGTATGTTTCTACAATAGCACTTACTTCAACGAATTCGTTGGATGCAAATAAATCTAGTTTTGCAGGGAATTTTGACAGAGTGAAAAAAGGATGAAAAGAGAAAGAAGTTTAGGTGGTAATCGTGGCAACGCTGACTTATTTATTTCATGCATGCACACTCCATTTTGGCCAACACTAACATCAAAGGTGCCGACAGAGAGTTGCGCTACTGAGCCGGTAATGCCGATTACTATCGATTATTTATTCTTTCCATCATGAGTATCATGTATGGTGGAAGATGTGGAAGAACTAGGGGCTCCGCAAAATAAAAGGAATAGAGAACAGAGAACAGAAAATAAGAATTTCAATTTATCAGAAACTATATATTTCATAATACATGATTTCTGATAGGTGAAAATTCTTAGGGGCTCTGCACAATAAAAGGGACAGGGAACAGAGAACAGAAAATAAGAGGCTCCGCACAATAAAATATTCTATTTTCTATTATACAAAGCCCCTTACATGAGACCTGTTCTTTTTAGCTGAATTTTTGCATCATTTTTCTTCCTTTTCTCTTCAAGAAGAAAGAAGAAGAAGAAAAATGAACTGTTGCATCAATTCATACGATACGATCAATGTAGAATAGCTTTTATGCATGGTCTACAATGGGCAGTAACAGTAGTGGATTAAGGAATAGGCGTAGAAATCTACCAATCACAGTTGAATGTGAGAAAAATAATCAACTATGATTGGTCGATTTCTAAGGACTTACTCCTTAATCAACTACCCATTGTAGACCATGCATTAAAGGTGATTTCATGATTGTGTGTTTTTGTCATACGACAAATTTTTCAAGCCTGTTGATTAATTATAGAATAAAAAGATCCGAAGACTTCTCTTAAAACGAGGTTTTTGAAACGAAGTGAAAGTGATCAAATTTATTAGAATATTTATAACTTCATTAGTTAACACCTAGTGAGTTTGCTCATTTTTGTAATTTTCACTTCGTTTAAAGAACCATAATAAGCTCCCTGAGAGCGGACATCTCAGCCTTTTTGTACATACCAAATCTCGTAGGGTAGAGTCTACCATCCATTTTTATGATTCTTTTCCATATTATGTGGATTAAACAAAGACGAATAATTAATTTTTGACTGCGTTCAGCAAAGAAAGCAAGCTGTTATAAAATTCTTTCATATGATTGATCTTATTCTTAATTCTTCAGATCTAAATGTATAAACCAATTATTTTGATCAATTTAAAAATTTTATAACAGCTTGCAGTTGCAAAGCTGCTGGGGATCGATTGTGTATCTTGAAATGGTGAAAATTACAAAAATGAGTAATGATTACTAGATATTGATTAAATTATGAATATTTTAGTGAATTTGTTCACTTTTATAATTTTTACCTCATTTCAAGATACACAATCAAGTCCCTGATGCATCTTTATCTTATTCCTGATCTAAGAGTCATCCTTATCTTATTAAGTGCATCACTTAGAGTACGGTCAATGAGATGCTACAAATGCTTTAAAGCAATTTTTGATTAGTCAATTTGTAAAATTCTTTTTTCTAATTGGTCAACCAAACATTTGTAGTTCAAAGCATTTGTAGTGAGACTTGACCGCAGCCTTAGGCTTCGTCTACAATCAAGCCGACTGACGCTTGTGGAATGTCGTTAGTTGTAAAAGATGGGACCTGATGCTGATTCTACAATGAGTCGATAATCGGAAGTAGTTAGTCTTAGTTTTAATCGATGAAATTGGCCAATTTAGTCTTAATCTAGCCTTACAAATTGACTATTGTAAATGTATCAACTTCACCAATAAGACTTAGGATTATCGATTATCGACTCATTGAATCAGCGTGACCAATCCAAACGCCCAGTCGACATCGACACGAAAAATGAAGGTTATGCATATACAACATATGACAACGTCTCCCGACTGATTGTAGAGGGCCTTAAACAGATTCTTGCATAACGCATAAGCCATAAGAAATTCAACCAATCAGAGTCTTCCCTTTCTTCCCATTCCATAGAAAAGAAGAATTTCGATTGGTTGATTCTCTCATGCACTGTGCATCATGCGTTATGCAGGAGTCTGTGCTGCGACCATAAGTCACAAGTGTATGTAAGCATGTGGCATGGAATCAACTACATTCGATTGTGACTCAACAATATATCTTACAGTTTAAAGCTCACTGCTAAATATTGTATTTCATACAATTCAAAGGATCATTCAGGACTTAAGTGCTTATAATTATCATTTTGTTGTTTATTAAATGTAGAACAAGGAAGTGTTCGAAAGCATCCCGACATGTCTGTAATATGATTGATGAATGTGAAAAGATTTACATTTTAATGATTACGAATTAAATTATGAACACAATGGCACAAAGAAAATCCAATGTATGGAATTTTTTTAAAATATGTAGTGATGATGAAAAAAAAGCTGATTGTATTCTTTGTGAAACTACATCACGAAAGCAAATTGTAAGAGGAAAATCACGTAGATTATTCTCGACTAAACCATTATGGAATCATTTGAAAAGTAAACATCCGTTGATAATGAAAACCTTAGAAGTAAATGTCAGTGAGAATATTAAAATTGAAATAGATGACTATCCAATTTCTGACTCTTTATCTACAACAATAACATCAGAATCTTATGAAAACTTTGTATCAGAAACTTGTGTTTACCTCCAAGAAAAAGATTCCAAAAATTTTTTATCCTGTGAAACACAGCCTACTTTACAGTGTATAATTAAGGAAGAAGAAATGTGGTCTTTGGATGATTCAAGATCTGTTAATATAACTAAAAAGATAGGTATGTTTTATTTTTATATTTATTTTAAAGAATCACTATGTATTTCATATAAATGAATACATAAATGATTACACTATTTTGTAAGTATAAAAATGTAAGAATTATTAGATCAAAATAGTATTCTTGAATAATATAGGTTTATAAAATTAATATTATCATTGTTATTAATTATTATAATACAAATATGCAACCACATATATTCATTTAGGATATGATCGAGTTGCCACTACAAATGCTTTGAAACATTTTTTTGATTGGTCAATCAAATGTTTCAAAGCATTCGTAGTGAGAATTCCAACCATATCCTTAATGAAAGGAACTTTTCTTTATTATTACTTTGATTTAGCAATGTCTCTACTTGCAATATAAATCTATTATATTTTTCGATCATATATTTTAGGTGAAATGATAGCACTTGATGCTGAAGCATTCACATTAGTTGAACGAAAAGGCTTTGAAAGATTAATAAAATATTTGGCACCGCAATATCCTCTACCTTGCAGAACATATTTTTCTGACAAAATTATACCACAGTTGCATGAAACTTTGAAAACACATATTTGTAAAAAATTAGCTACTGCAACATACATATCATTTTGTACTAATATCTGGACTTGTTCAGCAAACAACGAGACAATCATAAGTTTAACAGCTCACTTTATACGAAGTAATGATATGGAGAGAGAAACATATGTTCTCAGTGTGAAACACTTTCCTGATAACCATGCTGTTAATATAGATCAGCTATTAAATGATATAATAGAAGAATGGCATATAAGTTCTAATCAAATTCATCTGATTTTAAGAGATAATGCCTCTAATATGATTGTTGGAAGAAGTATGTATTACTTAATATTAATAAGTTTATATTGAATGCATTTAATTACAATCGCTGAGCGTTCAGTGAGCTCATGCATCTGTCTCTATATTTTTGGATTTAATGGAATATATCAATTAGATGCAAGAACTCACTGAATGACTGTAGTACTGAATGTATCCATTGAAGAATAAATTTTTTAAGTACTATACTTACTTTTGATTTTAAATTAACGATATTTATTATGTTATATATCTTACAGGTATGTTAGGAGAGAATATAGGATGTGTTATTCACACTTTACAACTTGTAATTCATGATTGCATTTTTAAAAATCAAAAATTTATTGAAATTTTAAGAAAATGTCGAAAAATTGTTGAACATTTTAACCATTCTTCACTCGCTTACTCGAAACTCAGTAGCATTCAGAAAATTTTGAAGTTGCCAAATCATGAATTAATCTATGATGATACAACACGATGGAATTCTACATTTTATATGTTATCAAGTCTTCACGAACAACGACAAGCAATAATTGCATATGCTGCGGATAGAGACATACCAACCCTTACAATTATGCAATGGAGTATAATAGAAAATGTTTTACATGTTCTCCAACCATTTGAAGAAATAACTAAAATATTAAGTTCTGATTGCGAGACAATTGGATACATTATTCCGGCAATTGTTATTCTACATTCGTATCTTTCAAAACGACAGAAGGATGCTGGAATAGTAATGTTGAAGGAAGAACTCAAGAAAGCAATGGAAGAACGATTTTTCATTTCTACAGGTATTGTTTTAATAAGTTCATTAATTAGTTCATAATAAAATGAATTTACAATGTTATTTTTTTTTCTTTGAAATAAATGAATCAATTTTTTTGTCATTATACAGGATTCAAGGATCAAAAATGTTTTGTATTAGCTACCGTTTTAGATCCAAGATTCAAAACAAAATTTTTAACAGATGAAAATAAGGTCAAACAATGGATTATTACCGAATTGTTTGAAATGAATAATACAGTCATTGAAGATGATAAAAACAATATGCAAAGTCATGATCCTCTTCAAAAACAAAATATTAGTGAAACACAAGATGATATCTGGAAGTGCTTCGATGACATAATAAACAATTCAAAATCAGATAATGATAACAATTTTGAGGATTCATCAAGCGAAACATTTAACAGACACTCTAGTGATAGAACTGAGAAAATTGCAATTTACAATGCTGAATTAACAAAATACCTGACGCTACCTCTGTCGCCAAGAAATGAAGATCCTTTAATATGGTGGAAAACTCATGTTTTAGAATATCCTAATCTCAAAACTTTGGTTTTGAAATATTTGAGTGCTCCATCATCTTCCGTGCATTTGGAAAGACTTTTCAACGCAGGAAAATTAGTTTATTCCGATAATCGAAATAAATTATCATCGAAAAATGCTGAAATATTATTGTTTATCATGAAAAATTTATTAATATTAAACTTTGATTACTGAGCAATATCTAGGGTAACCAGTGTCATGTCTGATTTTTCTTGGACATGTAATCTTTTTTTTTCTTTTTTTTTTTTTTTTTAAGGCATTTGAGGCAGTAATCTCAAATTATTGTGAGATTTTTCAACATAGTGCAGTAGCATACAGACATATGAATCGGAAGAATTTGATATCGTTATATCACAGGAATAAAATAGGAAATATGAAAGGAAGTATTAAATGATATTGTACAAATTTTTATAAAATAAGTAATATAATGAGTATTATAATGAGTATATAATGAGTATATAAAATAATATAATGATTATTGATTCTTTATATTTGTCGACTTATACGATTAGCAATTTGCTAAGGATAAAGAAAAGCCGTATCAGAATTTTTGAAAATACAGTATTTCGGAAACTATAAAATTATAAAAATGTGCTGATTATTGATTATTTATAAGCACAGTTGGATAGATGAATCTACTAAGAATATTTGATAGAATGTCTCGTATATTTTGTGGAAATACTAGAAATTAACAAAATTTTCTAATTAAATAATATAATAGCAGAATGTCTGTAAAAATTTAGCAAAATCTGTTTTTTATTAAGATATTTTAAGATATATCTATATCAATTGCACACGAACCAATTGCGCAAAAACTAATTACAGCGCTAGAAAAAAAAAATAAAAATTGCACAGAAATTGCTATGATTGACAATGGGTAATTGCAACAGTGTGCAAATGAACTATTCTCTATTTTATAATAGTAACTAAATTGTAACTAAAAATTACAGTAATGCCCATTTTTATCAATGCAGTTAACTTTAATATCGATTCAACTAATTCTTCATCTTTTTATAATTTTAAGAATAATCTACATTAATAGAAATAGATATAAGGGTCATTTTACGATTTGTTGATTAGTTTAATCGACCGATTAATTCATTAGAATTGGCCAATCGCATCTACTGTGTAAATGAAATGATAAATGCGATTGGCCAATTCCAAATAGACTAATCGGCGAATCGCGTAAAGTGTCAATTATAATTGTAATTATAATATTACCTAATGCATCTACATGCACAACTGCTCACTGAGCTCTCAGGAAGCTTTTTCGTCTGATTGGTCTATATCTTAGGATCTAACAGAATATACCAATCAAATGAAAAAACGCAGTGAGCGGTTGCGCATCTGGATGTACCGAAATAGCAACTCTGTAAATTTCATATTCCATGATTAATACACGTCATTGGTCGTTGCTGATGTGATCCAATGTGATCATATTTCGTAAATTTTTACTTGCGAAATGCGAATTTGAGATTATTTGGACACGAATTATTGACGTTAGCAATCAAATCTTTTTTGTGCAAACAAAATGGAGGCATTGTATCACCAAACCAATAAATTAATACAAGAAACGCAGCACATTTTTTCGCAGCTCGAGAGAAAGACATCCGACATGGATCTGCAGGAAGTGAGGCAAACTATCGAGGACAAAATCACTCTTATCAACAGGTAGTTAAAGTCAGGCATGATATTATTTAAAAATTGTTATTGCTTACCATTAAATTTATATGATTTGATCAGTAATTGCGAACGACTCGACGTACTATGCCTCAAGGGTCCAATGTCACAAAGGCAGAACAACAGAATGAGAGTGGATCAGCTCAAGTATGATAGTCGTCATCTCAGCGCCGCCTTGAGTTCCTGGTACAATCGCATGATGCGGCAACAGAGAGAGGAGGCAGAGAGGGAGGCTTTACTGGCCAGAAAGTTTACCACTAATGATCACGTGGACATCTTTATTGATCACACTGTGCAGCATAATAACAGCTTGCACAATGCCGTCCATGGTATAGATGACCTATTGCACCAAGGCAGCAATGTTTTGGATAACTTAAGATCTCAGAGAATAACGTTAAAGGGAGCTCACAAACGTTTGATAGACATTGGTAATACTTTGGGGCTTTCCAATACTACTATGAGGCTTATAGAGCAACGAGCTAAACAAGATGGATTTATTTTAGTCGCTGGTATGACCTTCACTTGTATAGTAATTCTCTTGGTGATAATTTATCTTACTTAGACATTCCAAAGATTAGTATAATGTATTTGCGATTAATTGTAAATGATTATATCATTTATATATATTTGTTAGTTTTCATCACAATTGCTATCAATGCTTATGAAAAAGATAATAATCTTTGTAGCTATTTAAGGCTACAAAACTTCTTTTCTAAGGAAAATTTTACTTGAAATATACAGTATATGTAACATATATTATGGCATATAGAGTAAAAACTTCCTTGGAGAGGAAGTTTTGAGAGGAACGTAGCCTAAGATTATTTATTCAAGTATCAATTTATTGTAAGCTATAAGAATATTATGTATGTAAATATAGATACTAAATGATTATAAATTAAATTTTTTTAATGTTATTTACTATATTTGTGCTAAAGTACAACGTATTTGTTTATTGTAAAATCAGTGTTGATAGTATTTATTGTACATTTATATTTAGCAACGATTGTTGAAGTTTTCTCGAATGTTATATTAATAAAGTTCATATTTTTAATGGAAAAATATGAAAAAGTTCTAATAATGCCATCTAATAATAAAGATATAATTTATATGTAAGTAATATACATTGATCTACAGATATTAGCTGTATGCAAGAAGTATTTTGTTATTTTATTCTTTATAAATTTCTTTTAGTAATTTCTTTAAATATTTATTATAAAATGTGCAATCCTGTATTTCCTCATTTTTTCAGAATTTCTCTTTTTTGTTAAAATCTAAGAGTTATATTATGTTAATAAAATGTAGATGAGTGCAAAAGTGAGAACGAAAAAATAGCTCAAAAGTAGACACAGATCGGTATTTATAATCTATTCTTATTTCAAAATTGTCTTTAGTAATGTACGATGCTAATGCAGCCATCTGAGGATGCACTCCCATGGGATGCGAAACTGCAGAACGTTCTAATTGTTCGTGGTTTTATTCCGTCGATTTCATTCCGCTAAAATATGTTTTCCTATGTCCCATAAAACGGAATTTCCGGAATACGCAATTAGCGCACCAATCACAATAGATTTTCCCATAGAGCACTTTAGATCGGAAATAGTGTTTAGCATTGGCTCACATTGATTGCGTATCCATAAGTTCCATTCAATGAGACATAGGAAAATGAATTCCTGCGGATCGGAAATCATATACAGTAAAAGTAAAAAGTATTCGTACAAGGAAGTTTATAAAAAGTCTTATTTGTAGAAAATAAATAAATAATTAATTAGCAATTTTATGCAATGAATATATTTTGTTCTTACATTAATAAATGAACTTCGCAAATATTCTTGATTTTAGAAGCTAAATTTCTCGACTGTATGAATACTTTTTGAACATCCAAACAATATAATTTTTAATTTTCATTTATTTTTCAGATAATATATTTTCTATAATTAATACACATCTTTTTGGTATATAATTTTAAGAAACATAAGTTCGCATTGCGTGAAATCCCCATATTTTTGCACTTAAAATGAGATAGATATATATTTGGTTTTAAAAAGAGAGAAAGATCGAAGATGCCGAGTACAAAAAAGAGCAACGCGACAAACCTATGTCTATAGACCTATACAGTCTACTTTATTCTTTATGAATAAATTGTTAATCAGCAAGAAGTGATCATCAATTAAACGTCGAATCGACATCAAATTGGTATTGAAATCATCGATATTGATTCAACAATTCAACTCATTTCTCGCTGATTAAATATTTATTATACTTTTTAAAAATAAATTTTTTTTTATTTTCTCTGTACGAACACTTTGCACTCACTGTACATATAGAGCCATTACTTCGACTTCGTTTTGTGTATCTATTTTGATTTTGATTTACATTTTCGCCTTTCTGTATACTATATATACGATTTCGTGTTCTGATCATATTGACTTCCGTATTTATCTGGAGACTATATAGCGTTTTCCACTAGGAAAAAACTATTGCAGCACCAGCGCCGTCTTCTCTCTAGTGTCGTGCTAGGTTAGGGGCTCCGCACAATAAAAGGAACAGGGAACAGAGAACAGAGAATAAGAATTTCAATCTATCAGAAACTATATATTCCACAATACATGATTTCTGATAAGTTGAAATTCTTATTTTCTGTTCTCTGTTTCCTTTTATTGTGCGGAATCCTTTAAGATGAAAATTGCACTAGTGAAGTAATAGTGCAGGTTTAGTGCGATTCAATGGAACATGTTATTAAACATCTATTTTATTGTCATCCATTTTATAACATCCCTAAAAATATGTATATAACTATGTTCAAATTTAAATTACTTATTTTACAATATTCTGATTCATTTATTTATTTAAAACATTTTTTTTTAATTAAATTTTACATTTCAAGAGTTTTAAACGTCAAAATGTCATTGCACAGCTATTATTAGAAACATTGAAATTAAACAATATCATTATTATAACATTAATTACAATAATATCATAACATAATATCATACTTTAGCACAAATACAACTTCAATTTTAACTTGCATTGATCTCTATTGACTTCAAAGACACTGGCCTAGTTTCCACCAAAAAACATTTAAACTATAGTTGGTTGACATTCTGATCCGGCTTAAACCCTCGATGGAAACTAGGCCATAGATAGCTTGATATGAGTCTAAAATTTAGCATAAGATACTTATCATTATTGTTTTTTTTTCTATAACCAGATAACCTAGCTAATCCTTACCTAGTTTAATTAAATCCATTTTAAGTGTCGGAGACATGTGCTTTTCGAGTTAATTAAACGAGAACTCAGAAGATTAAAATCATATTAATTTTATTTTAAAGCTGGGCAAAATTATGTAAAAGGTATCAGATTATCAATAGAATTAAAAACTAATCATCATATAACTTCAAGGAGAGATTGAAGGTGCACAGCTTTCATCAAACTGCTCCACAAAAAAAAATCAAAGACAAGTGTAAGAGTGTAATTTTTCTGTATATATTACATTTCTATATACAAAATTTTGGAATTGAATTATTACATTTGTATAGACTAACTAACAATATCAATAATAATGGACGAAATGCTGAAAGATGCGCGTTTCGCGCATATTGTGAGAGATCCAAAGTTTCGTCGCATTCCCAAAGCTGAGAGGAAAGTGAAGATTGATCGTCGATTTAAGGGTATGTTTAAGGATGAAAAGTTTACCGTGAAGTACACCATTGATAAGCGCGGTAGACCTATTAATCAAACCACCACCGAAGATCTTAGAAAATATTATGATCTGTCGAGCAGCGAAGATGAAGATGCATCTGTGTCATCTGCAACTAAGAAAGACAATGAAAAGAAAGTAAAGGATATCAAGGAGAAGAGAAAGAATAAAAAAAAATCTGTGAAGGAAATCGAATTAAAAACTGAGAAAGATTTCTCAGATAAAAGAAACAAAAATGAGAAGAACAAAGGTGATTGTTTATCAAGCCAGAAAAATTTTTTTGAGCTGAAAACAAAAGAGAAATCTCCTGATGAAGATGAATCTTCAGATAGTGAGACTGAATCTGTTCAAAAAGAATTTTCTCAAGCAGAGCTAGATGAAAATAATAAACAGCTTTATAAAACAAGGAAAAATGAAAATGGTAGACTTACAAATGAAATTAAAGAGAAACTGAGGGATCTTACTGTAAATTATGCTAGAGGTGAAGGTGTTTTGTTAAGTGACAGTTCTTCAGAAGAAGAATCATTTGAAGCTAGTGGTAAAATATTATTTGTTATCTTATATATCTTATATATTTTATATATCTTATATATATCTTGATTTTATTTAAATAATTACAGAAATAATTTTTTTTTAGATGCCGAGGAAGAGATTGAGCATAATTGGGGTGAACTGGATAAAGATGCCGAAACAACAGATGAGATCACATGTCGATTAGCTATTTGTAATATGGATTGGGATAGAATACGTGCTGTGGATTTAATGATTTTGTTAAATTCATTCTTACCCAGTAGTGGACTCATCCATTCAGTTACAGTAATGACTAATAAAAACTAAAATAATTAATATTACA